TGACTGAAATTGAGTTTAAAGGATATAGTATCCAATGGAATTCTTAAAATGCCGAGATGTCCGTTGAAAAAGGCCAGAGAAGCGAAATAAACCCGAAGTATTAGCCACTACGGCAAAACATCCCGACTCACGTAGTCAGATTTCACGCTACGGCTGGATGCAACCGACGTACATTGGCAGTGTCTCATTTTGGGGGAAATTTACTTCCGGCAGCCGTATCAGAGCCAGCCGTAGCGATTTGCTTAAACTCCCTAATAGGGAACTTAAGCACGGGTCGTTTTAGAGGCAACGGCAACTTTAGCGACCGAAAGAGCCTGGGAAGAGAACAACGTCGTTCCCGCCAAAATGCTAGACGAGTTTTGCAGCAGCGACGTCGGTAGCAAACTCTGTTCGCTCTTAAAGTAAGCTGTTTGAGAGAATGTCATCCTTCAGTGAAATGAGAAACCTGCTTCTTTTTTTATACAACAGTAAAAGCATCTGTGACGAACAATTTTTGACCTTATACGAAAGTTACAGTTCCAAGAATCCAGAATTCCCTTACAACTCCTACCCAAAGTTTGATTACGACCAGATGAATGAATTAGAGTGTTTAGCGGAGTTCAGAGTGCGAAAACAGGACATAAAATTATTGGCAAATGTTCTTCAGTTACCAGTCACTTTCCGACGTCCGCAAAGAACAACTTGTGACCGAAATGAAGGGCTTTGTATGCTTCTGAAGCGCTTCTCGTATCCATGTCGCTATTCAGACATGATTCACCGTTTTGCAAGACCAGTTCCTGAAATAAGCATGATTACCAATACAGTGATGGATTATATTTTTTTGAGCCATGGTCATCGAATTTCACAATGGAATGTTGATATGTTGAGTCCGCCAATGCTACAGGAGTATGCAGATGTTATCCATGCTAAAGGTGCACCTCTCAGCAATTGCTTTYGGTTTATAGATGGGACAGTCAGACCAATTTCTCGCCCAGGCCAACACCAAAGAATAGTGTACAATGGACATAAACGGGTACATTCACTCAAGTTTCAGTCCGTCGCTCTACCAAATGGACTTATTGGAAACATGTATGGGCCTGTTGGTAAGTTATGTTCACTGGGATGCCATGAAAATAAACTGCCACTTAAGGTTTCATTAATTTGTTAAACTTATTTATCTGTTTTGATATGCAGAGGGGAAAAAACATGATGCAAGCATGTTGGTAGATTCCAATCTTCTCTAGGAATTGGAAAGGAATGCATTTTCACCAACAGGCCAGCCCAGGAGTGTTTATGGTGATCCTGCCCCCCTGCGAACACACCTACGGGCACCATTTCGCCATGGTGTCCTAACACCGATGATGTGACAATACAATTTTGACATGAGTTCTGTTAGAGTAACTGTGGGGTGCCTCTTTGGGGACATCAACGACTTCAAGTTTCTGGATTTTAAGAAAAACCTAAAAATTGGAATGAGTAGTG